AGCCACAACTAGTCAGAGTATATTGTGCATCCTTGGACTTGGCTTTATTTTGAAGCAATTTATTTTTTTTTATCACTTGTTACCTAGAGATCTACAGAGTAAGAGTTGAAATCATCTTCAGATACTTTATCCTAACAGGAAAATGGCCAGTTCACTCCTCTGGGGCCTCCTATCTTTGTGCCCCGAGCCAAACTGAGATAGTGATCCAAGTATCAGTATGTAAAACAAAAAGGTAATTTTTGCTCAGAACAGCATCATAACCAGCTCTTAGTATGTCTAATCATCTTCTGAACGAAAGGAGCATGATTTATTTCAGTGGGAATTAGCCATTCATAAATTGATTACATACTGTAACTTTGAATATGAATAAAAATAACTATTCTGAATTACCTTGCTATTACGGTAGTTGCAGGAAATGCTGTCATGAAAAAGACATCCCTGTGACTAAAGGGGAAAAATGGCTTCTCCTAAAATGGTACCCCATGCTTGCATACATTATTTTTGTTTTGAAGTATAATAGAAAATTAAATTGACATACATGAAGTTGCTGTCCATACTTTTTCCTCATGAGACATAATGATATTTCATTTCTTGCAAAGTTACAGGTTTCAGCACTTTCTTTTGATTTAAAACAAAACAATTTTGGATAGGGCAATTGCTAATTGTCATTTGATGTTATAAATATGCACACGTACCCTCAATTTAAGGATTTTTTTTAATAGGGTATTCTTGAAGATGGCCGCATTATTGATACCTCACTCTCCCGTGATCCATTGCAAGTGGAATTGGGCAAACGACAAGTCATCCCAGGTAGACCTCCATTCTTTATCATAAGATGCTCAGTTTAGCTGAGGAACACACCAAAGAAAGCAGTAGGGAGGGAAAAAAATCTGCATCCACAAACAAGTGGTGCACTCAGTTGACTTTTGGAGATGGGATTAGCCCAAATTCTCTTGTCTGTGCAGATATGCTCCTTCCCTTGAGCACACTCATGATGGCAGTATGAAGCTGCATGGTGAAGTGGAGAGAGGGAGACGACTATATCTCTGCTGCTTCCAACCCTTTTAAATATTGTTCAGGCTGCTTTTGGACACGGGGTTAACGCTCTTTTGGAATATCAAAAGGAATGGAGCCTGATTGTAGCTTAAAAGTCTTCCATTGAACGGTATCCATGCAAAATACCTGTACTAAAGCAGAGCAAGATTTGACAAATGGCTAAATTTGCTGGGCTAGCCAGCAGGCAAAACTCATCTCCTCCCAATTCCATCCAAATGTTATGCTGATAATGGATGTTTTCCTGATGACTGCTGATGTTTGGTAGGAAAGACCTGGAAACAAAGCCAAGGGTATCCACCAATTCTTTTTCCTTAAACTGTTCCGTATGGCTTGAGTTAGGACAGCAGCATTTGCTTGTGGCAGGATAGAGGCTGATGAGTTAGCACACATTTCACTGGTATCTTTTTATGCTACCTCAAGGATTGATGGAAACCACTTGGCTGTGAAGAAGACCCAAACTCAACATACTTCCAACTGTAGAAGGATAGATTTTAGTTGAAAATTAGAAGAAATCTTTACTGGTAAAAGCATTAGATCCTGCAACCTAGTATAGTGCTTTCTTTTAGAAGACTTCCAGCACAAGCTAACTACAGTAATCATCTGTGGGATTGTGTAAGATTGTGATTGGCATGTTCTATTATATATGCCATTCTTTTTGTCCTAGGCTCCCAACTTTTTTTCCTGCCTGTTTATTATTACTATTTTTCTTTGATAGATTAATCTCAACCTGTGTTCTGGCAACCAGACACAGATTTATCATTTTAATATGAAGAGCTCCTTTTATAGAAATCTGAATGTTCTAGGGGAAAAAAACAGAAAGGTTTCTAATTAAGTTCTTTTTTCCTCCCAATTCAGGTTTAGAACAGGGTCTGCTGAATATGTGTGTTGGGTAAGTAACTCCCAATAAGTAACTGGAAATCTTCATAGGTAGTTGCTATACTCAAGTCAAGCCTGTGGCCTTCTTTGATTTGAATTTTGTTCATTCTCTATGAAAAGGCAAAGTGGGCTGCTCTTTCCAAGCGACACAAAAAGTACTGTCTGCATTCAGAGATATTTTTCTTATTTGTTTGTTCAGACCACAGTGGAAAAACTCTGGCCCTTTAAATATAATGCTGCAGTTGCCAGCATTCCTTTCTAGAGACTGTATTGCTAGAAGTTATGGGACATGGAATTGAACATCTGAAAAACAATATAGTCCCCATCCTTGTGATTATACAGAGATGGGCATCAAAGAGGAGCTGCTGCTAAAAGGGCAGTGATCAATAGAGAAGGGAAAGAGGCTGAAAAAGTGTTTGCAAGAACCATCATAATAAAATAAAGATTGTACCAAGAGTAATAGGCGCTTTCAGTGCCATCCCAAACCCTCTGGAGTGCCACTTGAATACCATCAGCATTGACAAAATCAGTCAATTGCAGAAAGCAGCTATACTTGGAGCAGCTTACATCTTGCAACAGTGCCTTTAACAAACAGCAGTTGCCTATCCCAGGTCCTTGGGAAAGACTCAATGCCAAATCCAGTCTAAACATCTGACAGCTGTTATGTATGATCAACCACAATATTTTAACCGCATGCTGCCCAACTCTCAACAACTCTGGATTGCTCATATTTATTAAACAAATTACAAGAAAATCAGTAAGAAAGTAAATGAAGTACAATGAAGTAAAGGATTTCATTTGCCAAAGATAAAGATTTGGGGGTCAACAGAGGCTGCCTTCAAGTCAATCTTGACTCTTGGTGATTGCCTGGACAAAGTCCTGCAATTTTCTTGGTAAGATTTCAAAAGTGGTTTGGCATTGCCCCAGGGGTGGGTTCTACTTACTTTTACTCTACCGGTTTGCAACGGGACCGCACACATGCCCTTGCACATGCGTACATCGTACCTTATGACGTCCGGGCGGGTGGGCGGAGCCTCCCGCCACTTTTACTACCGATTCTCAAGAACCAGACAGAACCGAAAGCAACCCACCACTGCATTGCCACCTTTCTAGAACTGAGAGGGAGGGGCTGGCCTAAATTGCCTTTGTGCCTAAAGTGGGACTACAATTCAGAATCTCCTCCCAGTTTCTAGCCTGATGCTTGAAGATTAAGATTAACAAACTGGAATATGTGCAGAGGAAAACGAAACAATGTTATGAGGCTTGGAGAACAAAATGTAATTGAAAAAAATCTCATTTTGTTTTTTTCACACCTTAATGCAAGCTCTCACCAATTCATTCTGTTCCCATCTTAACAATCAAAAGTGCTGTAGGCCTTAATTTCAAGAATTTAATTTCAGGAATTGTGTTCCAGTTATGTAAATGTCACTCCACGCATGAAAACAGGCAATCTGGTCAGAAAAACTGGTCCAGCATGTCTGCTCAGTATTTACCAGGACTGCCCCTCCCCTCAAGGACATAGCTTGTTTTGCTGAAGGCTGCAATGCTTATTCTATCTTAGAGGTGATCAGTTGGCAAAATCCCACTGAAACCAAGAACCTTGTGCACCTGTATCTTATCAGTACCCACCTGACTTTTACTCGTTTTTTCTGGCAGGGAGAAACGAAGAGTCATTATCCCTCCTCACCTGGCATATGGCAAGCGTGGTTCCCCTCCAGCTATACCAGGTAGGATTCAGTTACCATTATTTAATGGCCAGTCAGTCTACTAGGGCAGGAGGTAGCCAGATATTTAGCACTGTATGGACAAGGATGTCCAGTCCTGTGGCTTTGTAATGTTGATTGGATATGCTATCTCTAACTGGGCCAGGAAAGAGATACTGGAAAGGAATTGACGGGGGGTATTTAGGAAGTAATATTGTAAAGCCACATCTGTGCTGCAGTTTTTATTTTGTAAACCAAGGGAGGACTTAAGAAAAAAGTGTTATAAAACTCTGGTGAAAAGGAAATGCACAAAAGGATAGTTTAGGAGTATCACTGCATGCAAATATATAAACTCAAAAATAATACTTCTAGGTTTAGTTTGCCTTGTGGAATGTGGTATTATGTATAATCTCTTAGGATCTTCTAAGAGACAGATTTTGTCTCTTCCAGCTGATGCTGTTCTGCAATTTGAAGTTGAATTAATCCAGCTCTCCAGAGCCAATTACTGGCAGAAGCTTTTCAACGATATACTCCCCTTGCTGAGCATTGGGCTTGTCCCAGCCCTGCTGGGACTGATTGGCTACTATCTCTACAAGAAAGCCCAGATGCCCCGAATATCTAAGAAGAAACTCAAGGAAGAAAAAAAAAACAAGGCCAAAAAGAAATAAAGTTCTTCTTCTCTTTTTCAACTTTGTTTCCCAGTGGAATGTGTGTGTAGGGGTGGTGGTGCTCACACTGTTTTAAACACATACTCAGTATCTAAACAACTTAATTAGACATAACGCTTGCACAAAAGGCCAAGGATGGGGAATCAGTTCCCATCATTGCACAAACTTCATTGTATTGCCCTTTAGATGTGAGATCACAACTACTTCCTTTTAGCCAATGAGCTTCTAAGAAGACTCTGGATTCATGAAGGCTGATCTAATAGTTTGCACAATATTTAATCATGTAAGTGGCACAGAAGCGTGATTTTGAGTGTTTTTTACATACTTGACTTAAACATGTTAATTCAAGAAGTAGTCACTATGGGTTCTATATCGGGCATCTATTAATCATATGCCTTTATAGTATATATTTTACTTAAACATTCATACTAAAGATAGCTAAAAATAGGAGGATGCTTTACAATTCCTCAGTTACATTTAATAACCTTGTAAGATAGACAAGACCTTAGAATAAAGATCATCTTAGCAGCTCACAGGCTGTGTGTTCTGGTTGTGAAGGTGTCAAAATAATGTTCTTGTTGGGTTTTCTTTAGTAGCTTAGAGTTTCCATCCAAGGAGCCTACTTTCCACCTTCTGTTTAAAAAGGGGAATTTTAAACATAGTATATAACAGTTTTGAGAAGCAAAAGAGAGTATGGTAAAGGGGAAAAAAGCTTTATTAAATGTCCACACTGCAAAAGCACAGACAGATGTGTTTCTACGTTTACACATAGGCATGGGGTATATCTTCAGCTTCTGTTGTACATGCTTCTGGATTGGATTGGCCATGGAAGAAAAAACCGCAAGACACATCAGTTACTATTTAATGGCAGTTTGGGGGAATTTTTCTAAAAAGGGCCCAGCATAGACTGTAACTGGAACGGACTGGCTCTTCTTTGTGCCCAGCAGCTGTGTTAACGCAGTAGAAAAGGACCACTTGAACTCACCAAATGCCAATTCAGAGGATATGTGAAACTTCGTGTGCTGCCTCTATAATATTATAGATGGGCCGCTTGCCTTGGGTCCCTCTGGCAGGCGCTGCCTGAGACCCATCTGAGACAACTGCAGGTTGATTAATTATCATCAGAGGATTGACCTGGCTCAGGACTTCATCATTCACTGAGATGCCATCCAAGTACTGCTTGAGGAGATGCCTCAACTTAAAATTGTCTTGCATCAGTACATCTTTAGTCCGCTCTAGCGAGAGCTGTTCCAACCTCACCTTGTTGTATCTTTGCCAAAAGCGTTCCAGACCCACGTAGTCCAGCATCATCTATAAAATGTTGAAAAACCTTGATTGGTTGCAAGGAACTACATCACAACTTTGAATGTTCCAAGACCCTGCCTACATAAAAACGCCAGCTTCATGTCTGCTGTGTGAAGCATGCAATTTCCAAGCCAATTCTAAATTGGGAGATCCTTGCGGGAAATATACAACCACTAGGAAGATTATAAAGACCAGTTCCCTTAGGTGGGTAACAGCCCAATACCAAAATGAAAAGCTGCACTTCAGACAAATTTGCTCTGGCAGAGGGGAAAGCAAAATGCTAAAATGTTAAAAGACCAGAGGCAAATTCTGAGCAAATATTAGAGAGTCAAACCTGCACCAAATGCCAATCATATCATCTGCATCAGATTTTCCCCTATGAAAAGCAGATTCATAGGTAATTTGAGGATTAGGAAAGAGGGTGACACTTAACTGTTTTTTCTCTTTTGCTAAGTTTTCAAGGAAAATCCCTCTGACCAGCTATTGCCCAACTCAGGAAAATAAACCCTCCAAACTTCAACGAGTCTTTGCCTCAATCTTATCATCCCTCTTGGGAGAGGCACAGTAAATGCCAACCAATAAACCCTGAAGATGCAGATTAATTTAAAACATACGGATAGATTATTCCAAACAATAAACCAAGGAAATATTTCTTCCATTTGGCAATGAAGAAGACAAAGGGGTATCCCACCCATTTCTGAATTCAGACGATTCACCTGAGCAAGTGGTTCGACTGGTTTTTCCAAAGCCAACTTATCAACTGCTTTCTGTTCTTCCCAGTTCAGGGAATTCATGAAAAATGGTAGCACCTTCTCCTCCTCAGACTCCAGCCTACGGCACATTTCAGCCAGGCGCAGAATTATCTCTGCCTGCAAAAACAGGAAAAAAAAAAGATTGGATCTGGTTTTCGCTAGGTTTCTGGCACAATGTGTTTACAAAGTGCTGGAGCTTAGTAGTCCTTGACCTATGACAGCAATGGAGCTTGCATATTGGTCATGTGTTGTAATGGTCGTGAAACCATTTTATGATGTTTTAGCAGCGGTTGTTCAGCGAATGTGACAGTTGCAAAATAAATGTCATGGTTGCTAAGCAAACCAGTGGTTTGCTGTGGGTGAGGTTTTGCGAACACCTGGAAGAGCTGGTTTTCAGCAAAACTGTCATGTGACCATGGGCCACTGCAAACAGCCATAAATGCAGTCATGTTGCCAAGCACACAAAGCTTGGTCATGGTGGTGACCATAAAGGGGGCCCAACTATCAAAATTTCGAATCAGATTCTAAGTTCCCTTTTTTGGATCATTTGTAACTCTGAATCTTCACCAAGCAAATGGTTGTAAGTCGAGGACTACTTCTAATATAGTAATAAATTAGGAATTATAATTCCTAAGTTTCTCTTGGCATTGTATCATTTGGCTATCTATCTATGTTCTCTTTCTATCTCCTAGGATGTTCAAGGACACTGACAATAGTTATCCAAACATAAAACAACGTTCAAACAACTAATATTAATAGAGACTCAGTTTGTGCAGTGCTTAAGGCATGAGGCTAGAAACTGAAAGACCATGAGTTCTAGTCCCATCTTAGGTACAAAGGTAGTTTGGTGACCTTGTGCCAGTCACTATCTCTCAGCCCTAGGAAGAAGACAATGGCAACCACTTCTGAAAATCTTGCCAGGAAAACTGCAGGGATTAGGCAGGGACTCCCAGGCAGTCACTGGGAGTCAATGGTGAAGGCTAAATGCATGACATTATTAATAATTAAATGACCTAGTTCCAGAGAAAGGCCTTGAATTCTTTTTTAAAAATGAAGAAAACAGATACATTCCCTAGTGTAGGACCAATGCAAAAGAAAGCCCTTTGTCACAGACCCAACAAATGGGCCTCTTAAAGTGGAATATCCTTAAAAAGTCTTTTCAGCCAGCCAAAATTTCTGGATTGGCTGATATCAAGATAGTCCCTCAGATAGCCTAAACCATAAGCCAGTTAACATTTTAAAAGCCAGTACTTCCAATAATAACCAAAAGATGTTCATGATTAGGCTTTCAAAACTGCTATATTTATGGTTGTTCAATTCCTCTTCATTCAAGCAGGCTAGGCTTTAGAAAGTTGTTGTTGTTGGGATGTTATCTTTCTGGCTACCCTTCCATATCTGAAAGTAACTCCCAAGATGATGGAAGACAAAATGAGACATTTGCACAATTTTCACACATTAATACATATTTTACCTTACATGGAATTTTGAGGCTGCTAAATTGCTTATTTAAAGAGAACATATGTCAATGTGACAAATAAATCTTTGGAAATGCATCCACCACAGAAGAACTATAAGTGGCAGCAGTTCCTTGGCAAGTAGAGAATATGTGACAGATTTTATGCTACATAATATCTGGAAAGGTTTTCAGACATTCAAGACAAACAAGAGATGCTCCAAAGTTTGTTGCCTACCTATCTTCCACTGAGTTCCAATAAACTCTATCAGGAATGACGAATAAAAATAGCCACATGCCCAAAATGTAACCAAGATCTTCATTGCTATTGCTTATCCATCATCAGCACAGATTTTTTCCTTTTTGCAAAAATCTCCAGCCATCATTCTTTCTGTCCAGTTTGAAAATCCCAACTACTGTTAGTTTATTCCTTTTTCCCCTTTTGTACTTCAGCTTGGCTGAGTGCTTTGTTTTGCCATTGTGGCTACGTGAATCACTCCAGTTGATAAGTTAGTAACATGGTTGTTAAGTGAATCTGGCCTCCCTATTGACTTTGCAAGCCAGAAGGTCGCAAAACCTGATCGTATGACCCTGGGACATTGCATTTATGACATCCTATCATAAATAGGAGTCAGTTGCCATGCGTCCGAATTTTGATCACATGTCTATGGGGATGTTGCAACTGTCATAAGTGTGAAAAACTGTCATGTCCCTTTTTTCAATGCCATTGTAGCTTTGAACAGTCACTAAATGAACAGTTGTAAGTCAAGGACTGCCTGTATTATGTGTACATGTTAAGCAGTTTTTAATATACAGTATTTAAGCATAATTTTATTTCCATCTCTTCTTTAGGAGCCTCTGTGTCATGGCCCCATTGGAGCCCAGTTCAGAGGAGGAGGAGGAGGAGTTAGAATTACAACCGTCCAACAGGGATGGCACGTCTCCCTTGGCATGTTTGGAGAGGCCAGGGGCTGATCCCCTTCAGGCATTGGGGGAGGTGGTCAACCAGATGGAGAGCTACCTGCCCCTACAGACACAGGGGAGGATCAGCTGCTGACAGGCAATGGTGTTGACAGGCAGCAGATCTCCTTTGATGAAGAACAGCTCCCTCCTTCAGTCGATCCAAGGGCAAGGAGAGCTGCGAGGTTATTCGGGAGGATATCAACCCCCCCCCTTCCTCACAAGGAACACCTGGAATGGAGTAATTAAGGAGAAGCCATGGAGAGTTAGTCTTTGCCAGGAACAATTGTTTGCTTTGGCTTACAGTCCCCTGGCTTCGACTCATGCCTGTTGCTGTTTGCCTTGCCTTGCTTTGAAGATTGCTCTTTTGTCTTGGACCTTGCCCTTCTTTTATGGACTGCTTTGGGCCTTTGCTTTGCTGTGTCTTGACTTGGACCTTTTATTTGCCCTGAGGACCGCCATTGTCTCGTACCTGGACTCTGCCTTGTGCACTGGACTTGGAACCCTGGACCTTGCCCTGTGATCGTGCGCCTACTCTGGGGACTTTGTTTGTATTATAAGGGCTGTTGTTTGGGGAACTAAGGGTAACGTGGAGGTGGAGCCTTACCAGTTGTTGGAGGGCCGTTTGCTGGACCATTTGTTGAGATAAATTAAGGATTCTCTAGAGGCCTGCTTTGCCTTAACCACCCGAGTCATAATACTGCAAGGAAATAGCCTCAAACCAAAAGTGAAGTAGTCTCCAAAGAGCCTACCTTTCCCACCACGTGTTCCAAGGTCTTGAGAGTTGCATTGCTTTCCTTCGTCAGCTTAGCCAGATTGTTACGGGCTTTAGCTCTTGCCCGGTTCATCTGGCACTTTAACTTCTGCAGCTGTTTTAAAACCACTTCCTTCTCATCACGGACACGCCGATTTTGTTCCTCGCTCTCCTTTGCGTGGAGTGCAATCTTGTTCTTCAGACTGATAATGAGATCCTGGTGACCACAGAGGAGATATTTTCAGACTACAGAACATTCTTTGTAATGACAGAGAACGGGAGGGGGGAAAAAAGCAAAGAAAGGGAATAGAGAGAGAAAGAGAACAAAGATATTCTTACAAATTTGGCTCCATTCTTTGGTTCCAATCCTGACCACTATTGCTTTGCCTACCACAGGAATGGGATCCCCCCGCTGGTCCCCTGCCACATCCATAATGCAGTCCCTGATTTAAAAGGAAGTTTTTCTATGGTGCTATAAGTTGAAAAATAAGAACAGCAGTTGAAAATCCATCTAAATGGCAGTTTTAGACATGCTATCTACTGTTATTATACATCAAAGAAATCACAGGCTGAAGCATTGTGGCTAATTTTGTAGCATGGATGCTGAGGATAACAGATGTACTCTATGGGGGGAAAAAAAGTAAAAGTGATCAGCGGATGTGGTTTCCAAACCGCTTCCCAATGGGATCTTGGGGGTATGTGGAAGCTGCTCAGCAGTTCATCAATAAGAAAACCAACAACTCTGGACAAAAATCTCGAAAGGTAGTTGCCCAACCAGTACTGTAATTTAGGAGGTACTTTTGAATTCGTGCAGCATGATAATGAGGTCCAGACGGACATCTCATTGGAAATGCCTAGAAGATGCCACAGAATCCTCTGCAATGTGCCAGGACAGAAGTGCAAAGATAGGGACAGTTGAACCCAGAGAAGGCTCCCTGAAGTTAGAAAGTGTGAAAATACAGGTAGTCCTAGACTTACAACAGTTCATTTAGTGACCATTCAAAGTTACAATGATACTGAAAAAAGTGACATGACTATTTTTCACTTACAACTGTTGCAGTATCCCCATGATCATGTGATCAAAATTCAGATGTTTGGCAACTGGTTCCTACTTATGACCGCTGCTGTGTCCCAAGGTCATGTGATCACCTTTTTGTGACCTTCGGTCAAGCAAAGTCAATGGGGAAGCAAGATTCATTTAACAATTGGGTTACTAACTTATCAACTGCAGTGATTCACTTAACAACTGTGGCAAAAAAGGCCACAAAATGGGGTGCAACCTGCTTAACAAATTGTCCCACTTGACAACAGAAATTTTGGGCTCAATTGTGGTCATAAGTTTAGAACTACTTGTATAGCTGAAGCAGTTTTAGTCACTCATTCGGATTTATCCAGGAAGAATCCTTACCTGAATCTTCTGCAATTTCTTCATCTGCATTTCTATCTCCCTGGTGCTCCTTTCATCCCTGAGCTTCAGACCTTCAAAAGCAAATTTACGATCGTCTGTTGCTTCTGTGTAGTTACGTAAGGCCTGTTGAAAGCGCTTCCACAGCTCTTCCACTTTTCCTTCCAATTGCATGCGAAGGTAATGTTTGTCCTCCAAATTCTGTAGGAAATGAAAATGGGTCAACACTCCCCCCAATGCCCTCTCTGCTAGCTTGAGAGTTCTCCAATTACCTGTACTTTTTATCTGACTGATCAGGTGACATTTCTCAAAAGAAAAAACTGCTTCCTTGCAGGCACAAGAAAATACACTTGATTTGTTAGCCGAACCCTTATTCCTGGTGATGCAGTTCGAAGTATTGGAAATAAGGACAGTATCCATAACAAGTTAATCAGTTTGGATTCCCAATCTACTAGCATGTTTCATAGTCCCTCAACTTTAAGCTCATGACTCATGTTATACCCCACGATATATCTAGAAGAGGAGAGAAAATAATGCAGAGCAGAAATGGCTCCATATTTTATAATGCCTTGGTTCCCAAAACACACTAAGCCCTTTGGTTTTGGTTTGGCAAAGCTGCGAAAATTTGATCAAGGTAGTTTGTAGCATATGATTTTGTGTTTCATGAACCCTCCTAATAGTAGTTGTTTTCGATCTATCACAGTCGCACAATGATATGAACCCAGTGAACAAACCCACAATCTTTAAACAGATTGTGCCCAGTTCAGCTACAAAAAATTCAACTATTCATATCAGCTTGAAATAACAAAAAGATTGTTGAGTTTCCTCCAAGTAGTTTGATTACAGAAGTCTGGTTCAACATAATATATTTTGTTTCACTGAATATGCCATAATCTTTATTTAACTGAAGGTGTCATAATCAGCCAGGTTCACACTTCTTAAGCCAAAAACTACAGTACTACCGGTATTGACACCAACTGGATTCATACAACACACTAAACTATAACCATGTAAACCACACCATGGCTTAGTTTAATTTATGAACCTAGCCAATGTATCCTAGCTGGGCATTTAGTGCATCTTAACTATGATGACAATGCACTGGAGAAAGAACAAAGAATATAGATTTGAGTGTTAATCAGCAAGAGACAACACAGTATCTAGAATAGGTTGTGATGTCTGATATCAAACACCTGATCTATTTAGAACCATGATAGGATGTCTTGATTGGTTACTGTCAAACAACTCCAAGGTCTTCCTACCGGTACTAGCATCTTCCTTTTTAAATCAATACACACCAATGTATATCAGAAATATAATTCTCAGATAATACTCAATAAAGCCATAACACTCAAGAAAAAGAGAACATTTTCATAGGTAATGACTATCAATATGTCATTACAGTTTGCTAAAGAAAAAATTAAGGGCTATACGATTGCTAAAACCTGCATGTAAATATTTTTTTCCTGCCGATTCATTGGACTGCTCTAAATTGTGATCAGATTCTCCCATTCAACAGCAAAATTTAAAATATCATAAAGTCTGCTCCCCTATCTTAACTCACACCTTATTTTTGACATCATCTCGTGTACTTTGGAAGTCAAGTCTGGCTTCATATTCATTTTCAGCAAAGTTCTGCTCCATCGCTAACAATACATCCTGAAGATAGAGACTCTCCTCGTCATGATGTTCTATGATTAACTTCCTGGCAGAAATGGAAATGGTCCCATGAGCATCAAGGATTTCACAAATCAAGGCCCCGTGACCATCTATCCCAACCCTATGTCCTTTCTCTTCTCACATTCCTACCTCTCTGTGTCAAATTCCTTCTGCAATGCCCGCAGCTCTGTCTGGTAATCCTCTTCTAAGTAGCCCAGGCGGCAGTTCTGGAGTTTCAACAGTTGATCTATGTTGTGTAAGTGGCTACGCAGGGCGTGGGTGTACTGAGCTTCTGCTTCAGCTAGGTCTTTAGCAAGGGACTGGGAGACAGAGAAAACCACAAAATCAGGACAAAAGGCAGGTTTGAAACAACTATGGAAATCAGCATAAAAAAAATATCAGAAATCTACAATAGTCAGACCAATTATATCAGGCAGGCAATATATAAAGCTACTGATTTTTCTGTTTTTGTTCTCCATACTGATAATACTACTAAAGTAGTAGTAGTATAAGCTACATTATCTGCCAATGTAGCTGAACGTGTGGGAAGTTACCCACTAAAGCTTCAAAGATTTTGGAATTATATTATTTTGAACAACCCTTCAGAGGACCCTTTTAAACCCATAAAGATGGGTTATATTGATGGTCACTAGTTTTCTGAAGGTGGTCCCAAAGTGAGGGCATACTGACTTGTGCCTTGCTTCTTCCATGGTTTAATGTCTATGGAGTTTCTCAATCATCCAGGACAGGTCATGGTTGTTCTTCAGGATTTTCTTGGGATTTTTCCTTGAAAACGTTTCGCTTCTCATCCAAGAAACTTTTTCAGTTCTGACCTGAAGAAACTTCTTAGATGAAGGAAAAAAAACCAAGAAAGTCCAGCTGCCTTTTGAAAAGCACCTTTGGGTCTTCCATGGGTTCTTCCTGAAGAGCATCACGCTGGGTCCTGATGCTGAGCTTGTGTGGCAACTTCACACAACTGGAGTGCTACGTTTACCTGTCCCTTTTCTATTTCGTAGAGAGGACCAAGCCTCATAATGAGACAATGCACTATGCAGCCTGAAATAACTGTGCATACTTTAAAATTAAACGTTAGACAGATGAGAGGGAACAAGTAATATTGCTGGTTTTCTGTGCAAAGAACAAAAGCAAACTACTTTATTACCTATCTCAATTTTATGTGAGATAGTAAGCACTTCTATTTTTCAGAGAAGCTTCTTAAAGCTATGTCTGTATGTTTGCTAACAGACTGTTATATTAATAAAACTTGCCTTTCCTCACTGTATACAATATGTGACGGTGTATCCCTGAAAGTCGACTAAAATATATATAAGAGATAAATACTGCACAAGGTAATACCAACTGAGGACAATTTTTATTTAAAGGTATATAATTTGTTCTCACCGCTCATACTCTTTTTGCATAATGCCATATAGCCAGAGAGTTTCACAAGTTGCTTTCTATTCCTATCTGCCTTGCCTTTCTCTAAGAGTATTCCCAACTGCTTGATACAGTCTTCTTCCATGGACTTTTAGAGATTGCTGCTCACCTTAATGACATTGTCTTTGCAATCCACAACACGTTCAAATGTCTGACTGAGAATCTCAATATCTTTACGTAGTTCCCTGGCCTTGACTTCGCGGAGAACAGTGCGCCATTGCAAGTTGATCTTATGCAGATTCACCGAGCTGTTGCGTTCCTCCTTGGCCAACTTGTCCTGAAATGCAAGTCACAGCTTACAATGCATTCCCCCAGAATTTATCCCTGAATCAAGTAGACAATGCAGGCAGTGACTAAATATTAAATGATTCTGAAGATCAAAATTTCTTGAATATTTTTTCCCTGAGAAAAATATGGGAAATGAAGCAACTATGGCTATGCAAAATTCATAATGGAAACTGTTTTCATCAACTATCTACATTTGTTTGATTAGAGTTCTTGTACAAACTGAAGCAAGTATGCACTGAAATAATATCTGATACAAGTACTATTTCTATATTGTAAAGTTATCGTTCACATTTGATAGAATGCAGTACATTTTGCTGATCCTACAGTCCTCTCCTTAGAGCAGAGTATGTCTCGCTTATTTTTGGCTTCATTGTAGCATGGTGTTTTTTAACTTTTGAGTACCAAGTAGTACCTTTAGAAATTGGATCAACATGTCCTCCTTCTTCTTACTCATTTCCTCTTCAGCCAGCAGCTTTTGTTGCATCATAAGCAACCGTTCTTCTTCAGTGAGTATAGCCCGTTTGGGTGCCTTCTTTTTGGGCATGTTTATACTTAGAAAATGGAGAGATCTGTCAGACAGAGGAAAGACCCAAGTTAACAAAGTTGATATAAAGCCATTTTCCAATATATTGGCATCTAGAGATATTAAATTGCACACCTATTATATTTTCTGAGTTGGACATATCCTGTCTAAAGATTATGGAAATTGTTAAGCTAACACTTCTGGAAAGTCCTAAATTGAGAAATCCCATTTTAAGCTAAGAGATACAATTCTGACTGCTAAACCAAGCTTCTAATTTACATCCCTAAATTCAATGATTGTATTACTCTTTCATTTAATCCTGTCTTTTTACCATTCTTTATATATAATTACCCTCACTTTCTTCTAAAATATTTAGACATAGTATATTATTTTCCCCATCCCACCCTTTCATCCTCATAACCCTATGAGGAGGTTCAGGCTGAGAAACAGAAACCATATGCTTTGCAGATGAGCTGGGATTTAAAGCAGTTTCCCAAATGGTAAATTACTTCCTGTGTGAACTACTGTAACACAATTTAACTTGAACATATTAGAAGCGTCAGCTGATCAGGGATGTTTTGGCCAAATTATTGAATGGAACCAGTTTTAGGAGCTGTGACTCTACAGTAGTGTTACAGTTGCTTCTTTGAGTGTCACTATGCTCCTTTCCATAACTCAAAATTCTGCTGATGATTGATAAGAAGTGGATACTTGAAATATCACATTCTCCGTATAATCTTTTCCAAACTTTACAACTGGAATTCTCTTGGTCCTAATATGCTATCAGAAGCAGTTTAAGGGAGAATAGAAAATAATTCCTTCTGAATGGATGGTTCACATTTTGAACTTCCCTACCAAAGAAATACAATTTGATGTTCCCTTTCCCGCTCTTCCAATAGTAGGCAAATGTTTTTATTTAGGCAGATGTGTTAATATTAAAGTTAATTATCTGTCAGTTTGGTCTTAACGTGGCTGAATATTGTGTCTTTATATTAACAGGATTTTAATTAACCAATTCATTTGTCTAGATTTCCCTTCATTTTTATGGTGTTCAATACATTTAGTGCCTCTTTTAGGAGAAAAGTGTAAATTCAATAAATAACATAAAACAAATACATTGTTCTTTCTTCTGTTTTTTTCCCCTTTATTTTAATTCTATCCCTGTTGTCTTTAGATGCCTTTGAAGCCTGAAGTCACAAAACCGGACCTCTTTTTCCTCACGTGCCAGCCTTGATCACTTTTTCACACTTGTTCCCATTTCTACACCAGGGTTCTAAAACCTAGTGAGGATACAAACTGTGAAATCCATTTGCTGGAAGGCAGGGAGAAAACCATCCCTGAGCCTGAAATATTGAATAATCAAAAGCAAAATATACATGTCACGATGAACTGGTTTAACAGTTTTCTTTGTGGAGATTCCCACCCCCAAGAGGTTGCCTTGAATTTTATAGCCAGAAGTTGCATGCTAATGCAAGGAATTGAAAACAAGTGGTGAAACTTGACCTTGGACTTGAATTATGTCCCAATTGTTAATTATGTTGAACTTTAATTGGCATATAATTCTTCACATATGGCCTCTATCAATTAAAATAGTTTGCCATAGAGGTTAAGGCACTGGTTTAGAGACAATGAATTCTACTCACTAACCCTAAGCCTACCTTAGGCACAAACTTTGGGCCAATTCTTCTCAGCCCTAGAAAGCAGATAATGGTAAGCCACTTCTGCAATCTTGCCAAGAAAACTGCAGGGATTCTCGCCTGGTGCCGTAAACACTGGACCAAAGTGGAATTTTAAAGATTAATATTCAGTTGGAACCATAAATTTTCTTGGGGCTCATGGACAGTCAACCAGAAAAGACTTGTAGAAGACTGTTTTTGTACATGGTTACTGCTGCGAGATTACTGCAGCCACAAAGATGGAAAGATTCCAAAATACCCACAACAGAGCGATTGGGGAAGATGACAGAATTTGCAGAAATGGGAAAATTCATTTGTTTGATAAAAAATGGATTCTTTACACATTTTCTTTTTTCCTTTCCTTTTTTCATGTTCCATTTTTTCTTTTTCTTCCCTTTAAATCTGTATATTTGTTTATATTACTGAATAAAATCCTTTACTAAAAATGACAAATGCCCTGGCTTACAGCACATGCTAAGCCACAAATAAGCCAATCAATTTAAAAATTAATAGGAACGCAGTCACCAGATTTGTAACTCACGTGGTTAAGATTGTTGTGACAATACAAGCTCTAAATCCCTGCTTTTAATCAATGTCTCCTTCCAATTAGCCTTGACCAAAGAGGTAATTCTATAGAGTCCTTGATGCTCTCTAAGCTTGTCTTTTTTTTTTTTTTGCAGACATCTCATTACCCAAGTAGGTAACATCATCACTGCTAGTGAGTGTGAGATTTGCTCCCTGTTTGTATACAGTAGCTTACCCTGCCTGACCATACTGGATGGTCAGTATGGATACTGTTTTTGCTAGATTGTTTTTCTGGTATTAATCCCTGCTTATCTGGGTGTTGGTTGGTGAAAAGGATGTTTTCTGGTCTGTTTCCTTCTTAGCTTTTTATTTTCTCTTCTGGTGCATAAATGTGGTTTATGTCTATGTGATTTGTCGGAATGGTAAGCTTCCAAGAATTCCCTAGTGTTTTTGCATTTAGTTCGGTCTAGCACATGTGTCAAACTCGCTGCGTCACGTTGCCATCGCATGACATATCGTGACATTTTTCCCTTCGTGACGTTGGGGTGGGTGTGGCCTGCGTGTGATGCATCTGGCCCGTGGGCCACCAGTTTGACACCCCTGGCCTAGCATGCTCAAGGTTTCTCAGTTGAAAGTAGGGACAAGTCTTCCCACAAGGAATTCTACTTGTGATGGAATCCTTCAATTCAAACCAAGGGAGTGAAGGACTATAGCCTAATAATTCACTCTCAAAAGAAGCTGCTTCTTTACTACAGGGGCCAGCAGTCTAGTAGACTCTCCTTCCAAACAGGAGCCATGCCAAAACTCTGGCTAAAACACAAACCTGTCTCAGATAACACAGGTAGTCCTTTGACTTACGACCACAATCAATCCCAAAATTTCTGTTGTTAAAGTGAGACATTTGTTAAGTGAGCTTTGCCCCCATTTTATGCCCTTTCTTGCCTCGGTTGTTAAGTGAATCACCGCAGTCGATTTTTTTTTTTTTAATTTGATTTATATGCCGCCCTTCTCCGGAGACTCAGGGTGGCTTACAATGCGTTAAGCAATAGCCTTCATACTTTTGTATATTTATACAAAGTCAGCTTATTGCCCCCACAAACTGGGTCCTCAATTTACCTACCTTAGAAAGGATGGAAGGCTGAGTCAACCTTGAGCCTGGGGGGGATTCGAACATGCAGTAATTGCAGGCAGCTGGATGTTAATAACAGGCTATTAGTCTGCTGCGCCACCAGGCTCCTGTTAAGTACTAACTGTTAAGTTAGTAACCTGGTTGTTAAGCGAATCTGGCTCCCCGCCCCCCACACTGACTTTCCTTGTTAGGAAGAGGATCCCATGATCTTGGGACACAGCAACCGTCATCAATATGAACCACATGCCAAGCAGCTGAATTTTGATCCCACCAATGCTGCAAAGGTGGTGAGTGAGAGAAACGGTCATAAATAAAGTCACTTTTTCCAGGGCCGTTGTAACTTTGAAGGGTCATTAAACGAACTGTTGTAAGGGCTACCTGTTTGATATTCAGATCAAACAAATCTGTTTTTACAGGTATTTTTTTTCCCCAAAAAAATCCCTTTCCATCACCATTGGCAGTTCGGCGGTTCGAATCCCTAGTATAGGTCTCGTGCGTGAGCAAGGGGTTGGACTAGATGACCTCCAAGATCCCTTCCAACTGTTACTGTTAAATCCCGTAATAGAAATTGACTCTGAAACACCGACACTCACACACACACTCGCAAACACAAGACTTTCCTTACGAATTGACACCGACCTTTCCACCAAAAGAGCCTGCTGCTCGTGTATTATTTACTCCGGCCCTCCCGTTCTCCTCCTCGACCCACCGCGTCCCTCTGTGCGAGCGGCTCGCTTGCTCCAAGCCGTCTTGCCGGTCTCCTAGCAACGGCCCCTTTCCCGGCGACGCGCCGGGGAGTCGTTTCAGCGCCACAGCGCCCCCTAGTTGGGCTGTCCAGTAGGACGGCCTTAAAAGAGTGCCCTTACCCCCTGCTGGTACTGTATATTAAAACCCCGGGGGAGGAAAGACGAAGCGAAAGCGACGCCTAAGAAATTGAGAGAGAGACTGGAGAGGCTACTGCAGGCCACACCTCCCCAGGGAAAACCAGACCTTTCCAGGAAACGTATTTGCAAATTTTGAGTGGTTAATTCTTTGGATAGGCTTGTGATATTCCCCCACCCGGTTAAAATCCCTGAGCTTTACAAAAGTTGGAATGGAACTTTGGAAAGCAAGCCAAGAGAGTCCACTGGCACCGGGCGGATAATACAATTAAATAAGTAAAATGTAGACTGTAGGTATTAATTAAGTCTCGCTTTTGTACAGAAGCTCAAGATTACCTCTCCTCCAAATTATTTTTTTATCATTTAAATTTTTATTAGTTTATCAAAGTATAAAATACAAAGGGGAAAAAAAAAAGACATTTCTTAGTTTTCCAGAGAATGCAAATTATTGGGAGTCATCTACTGATCAGCAGTGCAGCTTTCTCCGTTTTGACTCAAAATCTACCTGAAAGTTAATCCTTGAATCCCACAATTCTAAATTCTAGTATCTGAGGTTTGGTTCTGGGTTTTTTCCCCCCTTGGCAAAGGAGGACATATGAAATCTACTTAGTCTGAGCCTTAGCAAAGGAAAATAAAATTGGGGATGAAAATGGAATCCTCCTGCCAAATAGAGCCAGTTAACACACCATATGTGCTCCTATAGATACCCCCCTAAGATATTTTAATGCCTGCTTCAGTATTTAACAGCAATGTCCTGGTCTGAAGATGAGTCTCAGTTGCCATGGCAACAGCGCTTGGTAGTCAACTTATTCAGATATAACCTGGACCTACTTAGAAAGCTGCAGTCTAAATATAGCCAAGGAGCCCCCTTTTAATTTTAGGTCATCTTCTACATTTCCAGTGGAAAGACAGCAAAATACACAGAACAGAAGGGAAAGCGCAGTATTTAAGGAATAATACCTGTAAAATATTAAACCGGATCAGCATTTCTGTGTTGAACTCAGTCTGGATAAATGGGGATTTCATTGCCACCATGAAAATCCTGTACTCGTCCCAAATAATTGAGGCCCAAATCTACACCGCAGGGCACACATTCAATCTGTTTTTCTCCTTCAGACACATGATCTGAAGCTAGAAACTAGTATTGTATCACAGTCATAACATATTCTCAGGACTTTGAGGTTCATAGCTACCACCAATCTCTACCAGATGGTCTACAATTGTGGGTCCATCTGGTTGCCTCAATTTCTTAGGGAGTTTCCGAGCAGTTTGTCAGGCAGCTTAGTTGGGTGACTAGGCAAACTTTAGTACATGAAAGGTACTTGCCAAGATTATTCCTAAGAATTAACATACTTAGGAAAACCAGACTAGAGGTTTCTCAGCTGAAGACATGATCCCCAAGTAGATGTGTGTTAATATCTGGCTACTTTTCCATTTGTCAGGAAGCAATAAGAACCCTACACTGAAAGCAAAGAAGTCCTCACCAGCCTCAAATTTTAAGAAGTACACATGGAGGTGTTTCTATTCGAAAAACTATTATTGAAAGTGTTATAAATACTCAGAGGACACACATTCGATCTGTTTTTCTCCTTTGGTGAAGAGGAGGGTGTCGGGTCTAGAATGGAAAGTGAAAAAGAGATGGCATTGAGGAATTATTTCACATACACATACACACCTATGAAACACAAACAATCAGTGAAGTTGGATCTCTCTCCCTCTCCCTCTCTCTCTCTCTGATGTTTTGCATTTAACTTCAGCTTATATTTCTGGTTTCCTCTTCTTTTATCTTGAAGAACAATTGAAGAACAATTGTCCCACAAGTGCACTTCCAAAAAGCAATTGGCCTTTCTTGGCTTTTTTTCCTTGAAAACCTTTGGCTTTTTATTTCAAGAAGCTTCTGCAGGAACACAAAAACAGTGCCTGCTGCTTGCTCTTTCAACAGGGATAGGACTGCGGGAAGAATGAAAAAGAAGGGTTATCCACCAGCCAAGGGACCATGTGAACCACTCTCTGGACAGAACATCTCATCACTTTCATTGCCAAATTTGAAGAATGGAATGAAACCTGAAACAACCATTTCTTAAGTATTTGATTCAGTACAGGAGACAAACAAATATGAACTAGTGAAGGTGGCTCCACTATTTTTAACATCCCTTCAACTACCCTGTTTCCCCCAAAATAAGACATCCCCTCATAATAAGTCCAATCGGGCTTTTGCGCACATGGCAATAAGGCCAAGCACTTATTTCAGGGTTCAAAAAAATATAAGACAGGGTCTTATTTTCGGGAAAACACGGTATCATTCTTTGCTTTATATTGGTTTTTGTATATTTTAATATTTTAGCTCTTTTGTATGCTGCCCAAATCGCTCATTTGTGAGATGGGCAGCTATATAAATTGGTATAAAAGCACCAGGCTAGAAAGCAGGTGATCGTGAGTTCAAGTTCTGCCTTAGCCATGAAGGCCAGCTGAGTGAAAATAAGAGAAAGAAGGTTCTTGAGTATGTCTACCTCTTTATTTGTAAAAAAGAATGAAGGAGAGATACAAATATCCACAATGTCCTTTTCTATGAATCTTGAAGAGCTTTTCCATTTCCTTTATCCTTCAAGCATCCTGTTTGTATATATTCAGGAATAAGAGTTCAAAAATTTTACAATGTTCAAATGACAAAAAGCATCCAGAAGAACTGGATAATCTCAGAAGAACTGTTTCTTTAGAATTTCAAAAATACAAGTGGAAAGCTGGACAAGCTAAAATGTAGTGAGTTTCAGAAAAGGCTTTACAGTAGGGGTGCTTAGATCTGGCCTGCGGGGCCACCCTGGAAACAGCAAAGGACCAGTCCATGATGCCTGCCAGCAAAAATGGAGCTCGAGGGCCGCAGGTAGTCCTCCCAGGTTCTGTTTTTGGCTATGATGGCCTCCTGCAACCCTCTGCCAGTGAAAACGGAGCTACATTTTCACTGGCAGAGGGCTGCAGGAGGCCGTTGCAGCTGAAAACGGGGCCCCGGGGGCCCACATGTGGCCCCCCATCTCCATTTTCGCTGGCAGAGGGCTAGCAAAACAAAGTAAAAACAAAACAAAAGGAGAAATGTTTCTCCTTTTGCATCGGAGCATGCAAGAAGGGACAGGAAAAGAGAAAGGGAAAGTGGAAAGACAAAAAAAAAGAAGGAAAGATGAGAGCAAGGAAGGAAAAATAAGGAAAGAGGGGAAGGAAGAAAGAATGAAGAGGGAAGGGAAAAGGAAGGGAGGGAGGGAGGGAGGGAGATTATAATGAGAGGGAGGGAGGGTCTGAGGGAAGTCCTGCCTTAGCACTAGGCCACCACAGGTGCCCCCGACACGAGTGATGTCGAGCTGGCCACACCTATGCCCATCCTGGCCATCCCCCCCCCCAAGGTCAAACACAACCCTGATGCAGCCCTCAATGAAATAGAATTTGACACCCCTGCTTTACAGGAACACAGTCAAAATGAACTCTGGTAGAATCTGGATACTGATGTTCTTCTGTTCCTAAAAGAACCTGGTCTAAGAACAGTAAAGTATTGTTGGTTAAAAAAAAAAGAGACCATTTTGCACATCCCAGCTTGGGAAAAAAAACCCGTTTTTTTCCCCTTGCAACAGAGCTTTCTGTACTCCATAAAATTAAAAATAAAATGCACATATGTGTTTCCTGATTTACTTTTGCAGGGGAGGGTACTTCTTTAAATAGTGGGCTTTGATATGAATTCATTTGTTTCAAATGGAGGCATGGAAATGATGGCTTGCCAGTGCCAAAGACTGGACAAATAGACTCTCTTCTACTCAGCACTCAGAACACTATTGTCAACATTGCCTTGGAGAAGTAAGGAAGGAAGTTAAACAACTCACTCGACTTCTTCTGAAAGTGTTATATTCCCACTTACAATGTCACCGACCTCGTTAATAAAACTACAAATGAATCTTTCCTGCTGTTTTCCCCCAGCCCCGGAATATCTCTAAATGAAATACCACAAGGTGGCAGCCCTTTCAACCAGTTGCTATTAGTCCGAGGATGTGCCCTGATGAACACAGAGGCAGTTCTGTTGAGGACCATCAAATTCAATAGAACTTCCATCAATCTTTCCCTTTCTTCCTCCTGCCGGATATATTGAGAGACCCTGATATATTTGGAGGCTACCAAATTGGAGAAGTCTAAATTAAACGTTTCCCAACATTTTCAAACCACCAGTTTAAACATTAAATCTCACCTGAAGAGGATTAATTTTTATGTTCCATCAGCTTCTTGAGCTGTCAACAGATAATTGGCAGACAGGGATTGAGGATGCTATGAAATTTTTCTCATTGTGCACTCTGGGGGTTGGGGAAGTGGTATCCTAAGTAATGATCCAAATATATCCTAATTTGGGAGCCCTTGGGCAGAAAGTTAAGTTTGCACTATCTTTTCTTTTAGCTGCTCTAAAATCTGGTCTATCTTACTTTACCTTCCTTCTTTCCTTTACATATAGATGAACTGTTCAAATACCTCTACCAGCAATCACCTCATTCGTGCATTTAAATCATAGTCATACTGGCTGCTAAAACATATACATGGTCCAATAAAAGTAGTCTCCAGACAAAACTTAATGCTTTGCCAATGGTATTTTGTTCCTGTAAAAGTGCAACCTAGCTCCTCTTTAAAAGTGTCATCTACTATTTGGCCTGAAAGATGCTATTTGAAGTAAATAGCTGTTCAAAGGGAGAAACAGTGGCAGCAAAAGTACTTCTGAGTGTGAAAATGGAATGAGAGGAAAAGGCTTGGTTGTAGTCCCAAATGGCTATAGATTTTTTCTTTTCTTCAACCCACTCCCTCTTCTCATAATATATACCATTTCCCTTAAAATAAGACATCCCCTGATAATAATCCCAATCGGGCTTTTGATCGCATGGGCTAAAATAAGCCCCCCTGAAAATAAGCCCTTCCTGAGAATAAGCCCTTCTGGAAAATATTTAAACACATGCGCAGCCCGTCCCCACCATTTCCTCTAGTTAGGGTTAGGGAGACAGAGCTGGAAATCAGGTAAGATGGCAAGAGGAGCCCTGTCTTGCTCCATGTGCCCCAAAATAATAAGACATCCCCAAAAATAAGGCCAAGCACTTATTTCGGGGTACAAAAAATATAAGACAGGGTCTTATTTTCGGGGAAACACGGTACCTTAAGCAGCATATCAGTTACCCAGGAATATTCACTTAGGTTGCTCTTGAAGGAATAAAGTTGGAAAAATATGAAATAATACTCTTATTAACATAGCTGTTCTTTTCTTCCCTTTTAGAACTTAGAATATATCTCGTTTGCCTCTCTCCCAAAACTGAGTCCAACAATGTTCACTTGGTTGAGTTGGGTGGTATAGAAATTGAATAAATAAATAAATACCCAGACAATGAAATAAATGAGGCAAAATAATAAATAAAATATAGAACTCTTATCATTCATATAATTGTCCCAATGCATAAGACTTGTTTCTGATTTTCTTTCTTTCGCTCCATGTTTTTTTGGGGGGAAGTTGGAATACAGTTATTTTCTTATTGCATACTTATCTATCTGAAAACTCCCAAAAACTGACCCTAGAATAGAAATCAAATTTGTTTCCTGGACATAAATATTCTTCCCAAAGCCCCAAAGAAGGGGTAAATATCCACCCTTGTCTTTCTTAACTGTGGGCTCTCTCCATATGAGGCCTCTTATTCAGTAATTCCAAATCAACATGGCTGTGAAACTTGCTGAGAGGAATTCTGGGAACTGTAGTCCCAATACAAATTAAAGGTTATACAGGTAGTCCCTGACTTACGACCATAATTGAGCCCAAAATTTATTTTGTTAAATGAGACATTTGTTAGAGTTTTGCCCCATTTTATGACTTTTCTTGCCACAGTTGTTAAGTGAGTCATTGCAATTCATAAGTTAATAATGTGGTTGTTAAGTGAATCTGGCTTCCCCATTCACTTTCCTTGTCAGAAGAGAAGAGCAAAAGGGGATCACATGACCCTGGGACACTGCAACCGACATAAATATGAGTCAGTTGCCAAGCATCTGAATTTTGATCACATGATCATGGGGATGCTGCAAAGGTCGTAACTATGAAAAACGGTCATAGGTCACATTTTTCAGTGCTGTTGTAACTTTGAATGGTCACTAAATGAACTGTTATAAGTTAAAGACTACCTGTAATTGGAAGGCTTACATAGCTACCGGTAGCTGAGGTCAGGGGAATTTAACACTGGCCTTGAAAAGGAAGTGGGGAAGAGGAATGGAATGATTACTTGGCCCTGAGAAAGTAGAAAGCACTAGAAAGAGAACGGAACTGCCTTTTTGTTTTATTTAATTTGGGATTAGAAGGCCAATAACGCCATACAATTCTGAGCAGCGTGCAACACTACACAGAGAGCAGGCATTGCAACAGAAAAGGTCTGTTTTCTAGAGCTGACAGACCCACATTGTTTAAGTGAAGGAACCCACAAAAGGCCCATCCTGCCATATTGCATAGGAAGGGCACGAATTATCATAGTTACATGAACCCTGAAATGACCAGGACCTAGGCCTTTAATAGCTTTATAAATGATAACTAACACCTGCAGACTGGCAACCAGTTCAGCTTGCAAGACAGTGTTGTCGTAAGAGCACACAAAGGCACTGACAGCATTGCTTGGGTAGCCCAGGGATGAGATGTATTATTCGATATCATTAGCAGACAGATGCTACCAGACTCCAGACTGATGCAAGTTCTCATCCAGTGATTTCATGTAAATGTAAATAGAAAGCATGAGAGTGTTAAACTCTAAGTACTCTACAAAGGGGGGGGGGGGTTGTTTACAGGAACTCTCCCTTCTTTCAACACTGACAGGAACCAAGCCACATGGAAAGGAGAACCAGTGCAATACGATGTACCACCCTCCCACTCCCAATCCCCATAATAATCTCAGAAGGGTACCAGTGTAATGGTATAAAAAACTGCTGAGAAATCACGGAGAACCAGGATGGACATGCCAGCCCTGTGCTAGCTCCACCAGAAGTCATCAACTAAAGGTGATCAGTGTTATCTTCATACTATGTCCTAGTCTGAAACATAACCAAAACGGGTCAAGAATAAACCACCTTCTCTTTAAAAAGGAACACCAGAGATTAAAGCTGTCCAGAATGGTTGGGTCCAGCAATAGCTCCTTGAGAAGGGATGCACCCCTCCCCACCTCCTTTTAAGGCCAGTAAAACCAATCCCTGCCTCAAAGAAGTGACATCACAAGATGGACCCAAGCACACAACACTTCTCAAGGAGACTTAATAAGCCAAGAAGGACATGGATTTAATAATGGCCAGGTTCATAATCTGAAGGACTCTGTTTACTGGCTTGGGAGTCATAGGCTCAATCACTCCATCACAAGACCATGTCTCAGGCTGCTCATCCAGACATGCCCAGTCAAGAGTCCAATTGCAAATAGATTAGAGAGACTTTATCTTCCAGATAGCGGCCTTATCTGCTGGATTTCTCACAGCATCTGATGGTCCTACGGATTGTTCTTCTCCAGCAAGGAATAAATCATCCTTGATCAGGGCTGCCAGATAGTTATTGGCATACCCAATAAGAGAAATAAATACATTTTGCTATTTTTGTCGCCAAGATGTGATCTACAGTGTGGTCTTTTATTCATGTTTGGTTGGATGTCACTCTTCATTTTTCTTCAGTGATGCTCTAGGCATCTCTTCTGGCAGTTCTTCTCCCAGAGTTCCTTGAAGAATCAAGGAGCACTCTGGGATTGACAGAGTTGAGAGGCCACATAGGAGAAATTCAATCCAAGACCCCTATATCATCTACCCATTCCAAGATATCAATTAATTCCTTGACCAAACTGCCTACCAAATTTTCAAGGAAAATCCCAAGCCCTCTCTGAAGCCCCACGGAGTCCATTAGTTGATTGAATAGACCAATTCAGCAGATCCTACCTTTCTGCAGTGCCTGGGGTAGCTGCACCAGCAAGTCAAAAAGCAATCAGAAAGTGATCTGACCTTGACAAGGACCAACAGTAATGCTCTTTACTGCCAGATCTGTTTCAACTGCCCGGAGACAAATAGGTGTGACCACTGGTATGCGTTGAACCTTCAATAACTTGGGACAGGTCCATGGTTTCCAAAGCAGCTCTGAACTTCTGAGTTGCCCCAGAATAAATATCTCCAGAGGCAGGTTGAAATTGCTGATTACCTGGCAATGAAGTCTAGCAAATGGGGTAGGGATGATGGTGGGCAACAGAGAATGCAGTAGAGCAGGAGCAATCCTGAGTCTTCCTAGAGCACAACTTGATCCAGAGGGTCTCCCTTCCAGTTATCTATGGGGCACAGCTCTAAGGACAGACCCACACATTACAATAGCTATCCTGTCTTCTCTCCCCTGAACTCACAGCTAATGCCTAAGTTGAAATCCAGCTCGCACAGCTTTGAAAGAGAATGGCACACCCATCCACCAGGCCTACCCAGATCCTTGTTATATACAGTACAATAATTTGGCTGCCTCGTTTTGATTAAATAACAAACGAGAACAATTTATAACAAACTGCCATGGAATTCAGAAGCCACAGCTGGAGCCTGAGGCCACCAAGGATGAGGTGACTTGTTGTTAGGGATGAATATTGAAGGACGGACAGTGAGATTGCTCACAATGTCACTGAATGAAACCCATTCTCATATTCCTGTCTTGATCTTGTTCTTAAAAAGGAGCAGTGAAGGTTTTGGATAAGCTTTTCAGATTCTGTATACTGACAATAATAAAAACAGCAGTCTTAGAATCCCTCCGGTGTCTGTTTCTTGACCCAGGGGCTATCTTGAGGGGCTGACATACAAAGACTTCAGTAAAAGATCAGAAGGAGTCTGATGGCACCTTTTCTGATTATGAACTTTAATTAAAAGGCATGCACTTTTTAATGCATTAGGGTTTAAACTGTGGTGAGGTAACCTACATCTGCACAACCACACTTGTCTTCCCCTCCCTTATTTAAATCTATATCAATTTAGCCACTCTATGCATCTGCTAAAGTAGGCTGCAGCTCATGATGCCTTTTAATAAAATGTATTAGTGAAAAAAGTACCATCTTCTCATTTTTTTTACTACCATAGGTTAACATGGTTCTCCTTCTACAAAGACTCAAGTAAAATATCTTTAATATTAATTTTGGGAAAAATACAGAGCCTTGGAAACTGCCAGAGGAATTTCCCATCTCATTTTCAGTGAATTCATTCAACAGGTCAGTGTCTCTGAATAATTTGAAACACTTTTTCCCAGCTTTCTTGTCACCTGGGCTGATTTGTCATTTATTAGACTTATTACTTATGTTTATTGTCCCTTCCGTTCCTTTTTCACCCTCCAAATCTCTCAGGCTATTTAGGGAAGATTGTTCTCTAGCCCATAAAAAAGCTGTGGGATCAGTGGTGGGTTGCTATTGGTTCGCCCCGGATCGGGCAAACCAGTAGAAGAAGTGGCGGGAGGCTCCGCCCACCCACCTGGACATCTCTGCACATGTGCAGAAGCTTCTGCGCATGCGCAAAAGCATTACACGAGCGCCACACGCCTACGAGCGAACCAGTAGTGACTGCATTTGAATCCCACTACTGTGTGGGATATATGCATATTATAAATAAATAAATACATACATACATACATACCTGGGTAATTATTGCAATGCTCATCTTTGGCAATTGTTGAGTACTTCATACAATATTGATTCAATGTTATTTTAAATGACACATGGATCTGAGACATACTTCTTGGCTGAAATGAGATTGGAACCAGGATTTCCTGAATAATTTTACTGGTTAGCCACTAAATTCGTTCCATACATGACTTTCTAGACCCAGCTATATGGGATTACTAAGGAAAATAGATCCAGCTAAACTTTTTCCTCTTTCTAACTGACTTTGGGTTCAAGCATTCCATTTCACAATTTCCAGGCATCAAAGGTGCTTTTTACTGTTGTTCACTTACACTGATATCATCAGAATTTCCACATATGATCCCAAAGCCAGGAAAACATTGGTAGAAAATGAAACTCTGCGGTACAGATTTTTCTCTTATTCATCACTACATTCATGTCATTCTACATAGGTCTGTCTCCCCCCACTACTTCCTCCGTATTCTAGTTTGCCAAACAAAACACAACAAAATCCAAGTAGCTCAATCAATTTAACATATAAGCTGGTCTAGTGGAACAAAAGCAAACATACAAAAACAGTTCAAAGCAAAAGTTTCAAAGCAATTTTCAAAACTCCTCTACATCACTGGGTTTTTTAAACTTAGCTAATAGAAAAATTATTTTGCAATCATGATTTAAACTGGACTTTATGCAATATGCTGAAAATCATTAGGGTATATTTTAGGGATTCATCTATGTCAGTGATGGCTAACCTTTTTGCATCGTGTGCTGGGGGAACTGGGGGGGTCACATGCGTGTGTGCCCACACCTATAATTCTATGCTCCCCGCCCCCATGCATGCGCGCGTGGCCCCCTGCTCCCACCTCTCACCCCGCTCCTGGCATGTGATGGCCCAGTAGGCCTGTTTTTCTCTCTCACCTGGCACCAGAGCCTTTCTAGGACTCTGAGGAAGGTGAAAATGGCCTTCCCCACCGCCCCGGAGACCCTCCGGAGGCCAGACACAGCCCGTTTGCCAACTTCCGGTGGGACCGGAAGGCCCGTTTTTTGCTGTCCCGAGCCTCCAGAGCCTCTCTAGGAGTCTGGGGAGGGTGAAAACGGCCTTCCCCCCCCCAGAGGCCCTCTGGAGGCAGAGAATCCCGTTAACCAACTTCCAGTTCCACCGGAAGTTGGCAAACAGGCCGTTTCTGGCCTCCACAGGGCCTCCGGGGTGGTGGGGAAGCCGTTTTCGCCCTCCTCAGACTCCTAGAGAGGCTCTGAAGGCTGGGGACAGCAAAAAACAGGCCTTTCCCACCACCCCCTGAGGACCTCCGGAGGCAGGAAACAGCCTGTTTCCCTACTTCTGGTGGGCCCAGAAGGCCCGAAAATCAGCTGGCCAGCGCGTGCATGCATGCCAGAGCTGAGCTTGCGTGCCCACTGATATGGCTACACATGCCACCTGTGGCACGCGTGCCATAGGTTCACCATCACAGATCTATGTTATGTTATATTGAAACAGGGGTATGTAAGGACACATAAGTGTGTATTCACTAAAATGGGCTCACAATGTATATTCAGAAAGTAAATCTGCCCAAAGCTTAGCTAAATTAAGAACCATGTTTTCCCCTGATGCAACAGCAGTCAAAGGGGATTAAATAATACATTTTCCCTGTTGTTTATGGGTTGGTCTGCATTATTTATTGAGCGGAGGGGGGAGAATGAAGAGAAAGAATAAATAGAGGAAGGTATTATAACATGGAATGTTGTAACATTGGTATTATTATCCCAAGTAAACAACCTCACCTTGGATTTGTTTACCCATCCCATGTGACTTATTTTCAACAATTTTAACTCATCACTGTCAGATCCCTGAAGATTCACACAGAATCTTCCTGCAGTTTCTCTGTATAGAAACTGGAATATGCTATGGTTAACAAGAGATAGGTGTGGTAGATTATCAAGACCCTGCTTTCCTCATCACTGGCCATGGTAGCATGGTCTTCTGAGAGTTAGGATTTAGTAACTTCTGGAGTCTTATAAGCAGAGGTGGGTTTCAGCAGGTTCTGACCAGTTCTGGAGAACCAGTAGCAGAAATTTTGAGTAGTTTGGAGAACTGGTAAATACCACCTCTGACTGGCCCCGCCCCCATCTATTCTCTGCCTCCCAAGTCCCAGCTGATCGGGAGAAAATGGGGATTTTGCAGTAACCTTCCCCTGGATTGGGGTGGGAATGGAGATTTTACAGTATCCTTCCCCTGCCATGCCCACCAAGCCATGCCCACCAAGCCACACCACGCCCACAGAACTAGTATTAAAAAATTTGAATCCCACCACTGCTTACAAGATTTGTAGCACAGTGCTATAGAACAGTAATAAGAGAATCCTGATATAACCAGCTCCTTCTTCCTTCTTTGACAACATGTGAAGATATCCTTCAGATATTTCTACCAAATGAAGGTGGGTGGCCACAAGAAAGAGGCCATCTCAGTTGTGGGCCTCTAGCTCTGGAAAGCTTTTCCTAAGGGGAGGCACTTATTCTGCAAATTGTTATAAGAATTTCTTTTCTTAATGTCTACTTTCTGTAGGGATAATGGAATTCATACTTTTTTTTCCATATTCCCCATGCTGTTTATTGCTATATTTGTACTCTTGCTGTTTGAGTGTTTTAATCACTCCACTGATCTCAGAAGCTAAGGAGAATTGGGCTTGGTTAATATTTGGATGGGGTCCCACCTGGAAATTCCAGAGAAGCTGGTTAAATGAGGAAATAGAAAACAGTATTTCAGAAGACGCCAAGGGTATATCATGCCAAGAAAACCACAAGAATACAAGGCATCCATCCAGGGTTAAGGTGAATTTGAGAGTATTTTTACCTTTTGTTTGTCTGCCAGGGAATTTTCTCTCTGAGTAGCTAATGTTTAATATATGCATTGCAACATCTGTGACATTCTGAAGAAACCAAAGCAGTTTAAATTCTTCACTAAACATGCCAGAAATTGAGGCTGCTTGGAAGTTACATCATCTTGAAAATATATCCCCTAATTTCATATGTATCAAGGTTAGTTCTGCTTTCGCACCTGAGATTTATTTTATGGTATTTATTTAAAGTATCAGAAGCTCTCAGAGATGCTCACATTATTAGGTCAATCAGAGTAAGGGGCCATTGACATGGAAACAATAAAATTTAAAGAGATGTCGGATGGCCCTTTAATTTATTTCTTCCTCCTCTAGCTCACAGAGGAGTTTGTCCTCATTGCATATGTACTGGGAGGAGGAAGCCATCGTCCTTCTCTCCTGAAACTCAAATACAGGTAGTTCTCAATTTACAATTCATTTAGTGACTGTTCAAAGTTACAACGGCACTGAAAACCTTATGACATTTGTTCACAGTTATGACCTTTGCAGCATCCCCATGATCATGTGATCAAAATGGTTGCAGTGTCGAAGGTCATGTGATCGCCTTTTGTGACCTTCTGACAAGCAACATCAATGGGGAAGCCAGATTCACTTAACAACCAGGTTACTAACTTATTACTTAACAACTGATGCAAGAAAGGTCGCAAAATGGGGCAAAACTCACGTAACACGTGTCTCACTTAACTACAGAAATGTTGGGCTCGATTGTGGTCATAAGTCAAGGACTACCTGTACTTTGGCTACCAAATGAGAAGACAGGACTCACTGAAAAAGACGCTGATGTTGGGAAAGATTGAAGGCAAAAGGAGAAGGGGACAGCAAAGAATGAGATGGTTAGATAGTGTCATCAACGTGGTGGCCATGGGTTTGGGTGGATTTCAGGAGACACTGGAAAGGGGAGGGGGCTGACATACTATGGTTCATGGGGTCGTAAAAAGTCAGACATGACTTAGCGACTGAATAACAAAAAGTTACAAATGGTTGTTTTCAGGGAAGAAGAGGTCTCATCCTAGTGCATAGAGCAACAGCAAGAAGCAAGATTTCCTCTTTCCTTGAAATGAAAACTGCATCAGTTTTTCTTGCATTCCATCCCCTGCTCATACCACATACACAGAAGGTCTTCTTCATGACTGCGTGAGCATGATTTCCTCTAGAAAACTACACCAGCATAAATTGACTGTGCTTCCATATCAAGATCAATGAAGTAGTGGTGGGTTCTAATCAGTTTTACCACCGGTTCGCATCGCGCACGAGCGCAATCACCAAATAATGATGATAGTAATTTATTAAATCAACATGACACCTGTCTCCCATCTACAGTATATATATAAAAGCAAAACACCTCTCACACATCATCACAAAATCTCCAGAACCGTAGAGCCTACAAACTTGAAATTTGCCACATATGTTCCTCTTGGCTTCTAGGTGCTCACTAAGAAAGGATTTTTTGAAATGACCATCACAGCATTAGTATTTCCTATATTATGATTAACAGGCTCTGATGCTAAGGAGTTCTACTCCCCCTCCCCACCTGAAAAGAAATCTGTTCCAAATGCAAAACACAAGCAGAGGAGAGGAGTTTCAGTTTCAGTTTTACTTTCACAGCAGCAAGCAGGGGATAGGATAGGGGAGGCTTCTGTGGGGCAAGCCTGAGGAAGAGAAGGGGATAGGATCAGGGAGGCTTCTGTGGGGCAAGCCTGGGGAAGAGAAGGGGATAGGAGAGGCCTCTGTGCGGCAAGCCTGAGGGAGAGAAGGGGATAGGATAGGGGAGGCTTCTGTGGGGCAAGGCTGAGGGAGAGAAGAGGAGAGGAGAGGCCGATCATAAGTACTCATTAATTTTCAAGCTGTAAGTGTCAATTTATCAAACCCGATCACATAGTTTCGTAGCAGAGCACGGGTATTCAGCTAGTCAGACAAAAGAATGAAAGAGAGATTGTAAGGAGTATCAGGGACATTCCTCTGTTTCACACAGTGGCTCCTCTGTGCATCCGTGGCCTACTAGTTCAAGTATTTCTGAACTAGTGTTCTTTTGAAAGGTAGCTCAGAAGATGCAGAGGATATATGAAATTTTAGGAAGATCCCTCCCACTTTCTCCAGCGCCTCACAAGGTTCCTTCAGCTGGCTGGGCTATATATTGGGTTTTTTTAAAGCAATCTTTGTGCTGCTCTTCATCCACTATTGATGGTTATTATGTAGCATACCTTGATAGCATGACAAGGCATTCTGTTTCCTCTTCTGTGGCTATTTTTCCTTCATGCCAGTTGCTACCAGTGAACTACCAAGAAAGATACGTAAATATTGGCAGGAGGAAGGAGCCATTCTGAACTTCATGCTAATGTCGAATGCATAGACCCGCTGATTAATAGCGCCTCCTTTAATTTGCCAAACTATACAGATAGTTTTTGACTTACAACTTTAATTGAGACAGGAATTTTTTAATTAATTTATTTGTTTATTATTTATTTATACCCCACCTTTATTATGTTTACAAATAAGGCAGTGAACATATCCAACACACCTTCCTCCTATTTTCCCAACAGCAACAACCAACAACCCTGTGAGGTGGGTTGGGCTGAGAAAGAGTGACTGGCCTGAAGTCACCCAGGTGGTAGATTGGGACTTGAACTCGTGATCTTCCGCTTTCTAGCCTGGTGCCTTAACCACCAGACCAAACTGGCTCTTACGGTGGTAAGTCATGGCGGTGGTTATGGCTCATCACGTGACTGCACTCAAATTTATGATCTTTTTTGTGGTGGTCGTTAAGTAAACACACTGGTCATTAAGCAAGCCTGTTTTCCCCAATGGTCACTTTTTGCAAAAACTGGAGGCAAATGCCAGAAACCTGCAAAAAATGCTGAAAATCATGGTTACGCAACAACGGGACACTGCAAACAACTGTAAAATGCAAGCTGGTTGCCAAGCACCCAAAATTCAATCATATAACCATCAAGAGGCGTGGCCTTCAGAACTTTCAAAACAGGTTGTAAGTACCGGTAGCTCTGGAGAGGCCTATCATAACTTCAAACAGTCACTAAGCAATCAGTTATTAAGCAAATTCTACCTATATGCAGTAGTAAAATCTCCAGATCAGTGGTGGGTTTCAAAATTTTTTACTACCGGTTCTGTGGGTGTGGCTTGGTGGGCGTGGCATGGCTTGGTGGGCATGGCATGGCTTGGTGGGTGTGGCAGGGGAAGGATACTGTAAAATCTCCATTCCCACCCCACTCCAGTGGAAGGATACTGTAAAATCTCCATTCCCTCCCCAATCCAGGGGAAGGTTACTGCAAAATCCCCATTTCCTCCTGATCAGATGGGACTTGGGAGGGAGAGAATAGATGGGGGCGGGACCAATCAGAATTTTTACTACCAGTTCTCAGAACTACTCAAAATTTCCACTACTGGTTCTCCAAAACTGGTCAGAACCTGCTGAAACCCACCTCTGCTCCAGATTATGGGAGGGAGGCTTAGGGATAAGGTACAGAAAATTTAAGTAATCAAAATCCAACTTCTTTCAATTCACTGGTCTCTCTGAGCCTCCGTTCTTTTTCACCATGTGAAGGACAAGTGCATCTAGGAATATGTTTTGCCATAGATTGCTAACTCCCTTCTTTTCCAACCGGTTAGCCTTTCCTCTAGTAACCTGTATTGCACCGCATGACTCAGTCAAGTTCAGCTTCCACACTTCTTCCTTTCCAAAGTCTTAATGAAAGTATTTGTGGCCTTGATGACTTTCACAAAAAAACTCTCCTTGCTTCATTCCTTACCCTTCCGTTGTAACTCTGACCAGTTAGGCAGGTCAACAGGCACGGAAGAGTGGTACCGGATAAAGAGGGAGCGGCTGTTTGATAACAAGCAAGTTTCATCCTCTACCATGCCTGCCAAGAATTATCAGAGCTGGCAGGGAGTGGCCATGACCAATAGCACCTAGAAATACCCTGTGGAATAAGCAAAACAGCTTAAGAGCTAACAAAATGTTAACCCTAAAAGTTATGGCCACATAAAACAGAGGCAGTAAAGAGCCTATAATGCTCTCATTGGTGACCAAAACCAACAACCCACAACTGGCCGAATTTGGCTTCCACTTTAAATCTCCCTTCTCAACAACATAAGATTAGCACTCTCAAAAAAAAAATTTTTTTTTTAATCCATCAACTGTAGAGGAGGAGGTATCCAATAGCTGCAGGTCAGATCATGATAGTGATCTATTCAGCAACCACATTGTCAATAAAGTGTACTTGATTGGGTCTATAACAAAAGCTGTCTAGGCAGGCAAGAGAAAGCACTATATTAAACATGGAACAAGCAAAAGACTATAAGGGTCAGCCCTGGAGGCCATCTTTTTCTTTGGATCTTCAGGGCTGCCACACTTAGTGCTGTGGGAAATTGGGAGGGGGGATTAAATGGAGTTGCATGGATTGCCATAACAACATTCTTTTCTCTGGGAGTCAAGGACGTTCAGCCTGTACCTGAAGTGATGTAACTAGGAGGCATCTCCAGTTGGGACGGTGGATTGATTGGACCGTGTGATGGACACGTGGGTGCAGGGGAAGGGACTTTGACTTTCCTTCGGATGGGGAAAACCTGGAAGCTTTCAGATTTGGATTTTCCTAGATGTGCCAATATGACATCTCTAATAAAGTGAAACTTTGAGGAACTTCTAGCCTCAGATTCTTTTTTTGTTGGGGGTATTACTTGGAACCCTGACAATAAGATGCCTCCCTTGTGGGCTGAGGATGATGAAGAAGCAACATTATAAAAATATTGCATTTAAAAATAGTGGGACATGTTTGGGTCAAAGTTAGAGGGTTAATAGGAGAAATCCACTATTGCATCTTGGTATTGAAACATATGAGACCAATGGGAGCTGCAGTGATCATTTTTGGCAAGCAATTGGCAGGAAATCCTATATTGAAAACCATATCTAGGAGCCATATTGTAGTTGCTCTTTTCTTTTAAAAAAAAGTGGATATAATAATATTACTGGAAGCAATGTTCTTATCTTAACTCTTGTGAAGAACTTGAATTTGGGCCAGTAAGATAAATAGGAAGGAAAGAAAGAAAGAAGAGAGGGTGGATAAGAATTACTAATTCTACTGGATTTCAAGGTTGTTGTTTTTCTAGAATGGGAGTAACCACTGATAGTCAGTAACCAAAAATACTGAATTCTTTTCTTGTCACTGAATGATAGATGAATTTTTAAAAACCTACACTCAGGGTCAGATATAACAACAAGGAAGCAAGATATTTCTGAAAAGGATTGGCAGAAGTACAGATACAAGCAGAGAGAGAGAGGGAGAGGAGAGGAGAGATAATAGATGGATAGATGGATGGATAGATAGATACATAGATAGATAGATGATGGATGGATAAAGAGAAAGAGATAAAAACAGCATTATAAATACAAATAACACAATAAAGAACTAGTGCAGCACTGAGATACACAAGGCAACCATCTCCACCTGTCCAATGCAACATTTTCAGTCCTACCTCCTGCTGAGCCACATGGGTAGTGGAGCAGGTGAAAGGACTTTTCAGGAGTAGCCTTTGCTCTACCAAAAATTATTTCTCTTGAATTATGTATGAATGTCCCAAACTCTCTGTAAAAGCAAATAAATGAGTATTATTTCAGTGTGCTTTTGGCCCCTAGTTGTATCTGGGCAACCATCATATTTAGTTCATTTTTATGGTTTTTAATTTATTGTGCTTGAAACTTACCGTGTTTCTCTGAAAATAAGACCCTGTCTTATATTTTTTTGAACCCTGAAATAAGTGTTTGGCTTTACTGCCATGTGCTCAAAAGCCCGATTGGGCTTATTATCAGAGGATATCTTATTTGGGGAGGAAACAGGGTATCTAACATCTGTAAAGATCGGAGCAGCCTATGGACACTATTACTAAACAAATCATTGATAACTGAACATCACCTGACTGTTGATAAAATGAACAATAGGTTAAGACAAATAGAATTTCTCGAAAAGGACCATAGCTGGGCTAGCTGGATAAACCCCTAAAGAGCAATCTACTCTGTTCAATTACAGCATAAATCCAATGTATACAGCAAAAATTAATGCCTGCAACTTAGCCATCAGTGATGAAATGGCCTACAGTTTGAATAAAATGTTGTGTTGAAGTTCCCTATTTGTTATTTATGCAAATATTTTAAGGAGGAGTTCAATCATTAAAAGAAATATGCACTTAAAAGTTTATATTCCTGCTGCCAAAAATCAGCATTCTAAACAAAAAATACAGATATATTGAACCAACTGAGGGAGGCCCAAGGCAGGGGCATCTGAAGTGACAGTCACT